TTTTTCCATGCCTATGACTGTATCCGACAGGCTGAGTAAGGGAGAGAAAAATATAGAGCTGAGAGAATCAGAATCTTTCACAGCTTATCAGGATGGGGGATGAAAAAAAAAACAATTAGGGCAAATAAAGACACTCAACTTGATCTGTATGGAAGAAAATCAGTGATATAAATATCAATCTCTTTACAGAAAACTCACAAGCCATCTGTTTCAGCAACACAAGGATTTTGTGTACCTTAAAACGACCTGCTTCTGGGTAATTTTGGACTACATTAACTTTCATTACCCACATTCCTGATACTCCCCCAAAGTTCACAACTACACTTTGCAGTCACTTACCACTGTTTTGCTTTACGGTTACTTGACATTTTTGTGGCCTTTTGATGGGGTCTTTATGGCCTTTTCTGGCTGCACATTACCGTGGCTGACATAACATTTGTTTTAATGATAGTTGTGTCATATCCTACCACAGAAGGGGGAACTTAGGAGTTGAAAACTATTAATTTACTAGTGATTCTTTAAGTTATTAGGCACATGTTAAATATATGCTGATCCCAAACCACATGGCTACATCTGCGTTCAGCTTGAGTTTTCAAGTGTTTCAGCTCATCTAAATTTACAATAAAGTTCATGCTGGTAAACATGATCCCATTTCAGCTTATTTCACATGTGTTGCTTCACAAGAAAACTAGTATTTTTAAAGAAATAGAAAAATGACTCACTTTCAACATGTAATATGTTTTCTGTGCTCTATAGCCCATAAAACATCTTTCTGATTTTCATATGAACACATTTTATTCTAAATACATTTAATCAAATAAAAAATCTCTCTTAACCCATGAACATCTACACAAAGAAAAAAGATTTTTTCATAGAGTTGGGTGACACTTTATGGTAAAAGTATGAAAGAGCTCAAAACAAAGAGCAGTATTTAAAAAAAAAAAAGGTAAAGGATAATTAGCTAGTTTTACTTTTATTTTATTTCTATGATCACAGACATTCATTCGACTATCAATTGTACTCAAGTCCGCTGAAGTACTGGGACAGCCAATAGCAGCTTGTGTGCCAGACGGCTCTCTTCCACATGATTCGTTCAATGTTGCTCCGCCTGGAAGGTCAAACTGAACACCAGGAAACACACACTCAACACTGGTCACCTAGACAACTAAGGCAAACCCCCAAAACGCCAAGCTTCAGGCTGCATCAAAATTACAGGTTGGGGATTTGCAGACACTCATTTCAGAGCTATATTTACGGACCGGCAGTGTGCGTGGCTGCTCATGTGTCGTGTACTGGGCCCTGGCAAGCTCCAGATGTTATAAATACTTAAAGTTCAAACTGGAGACTTACACTTGTGAGATGTTTGCTTTGAGTGGTGCGCAGTTTGCTTCTGTGCAGTTTGCATGTGTGCAGGCTCTGTATGGGACAGCTTTATTCTGACCTGTCTATGACACTGACTCCGGTCTGGCCTTTGCTATAAAAAGATACACACTGTGTGCATGCCAGACAGAAAAAAAGGCGTGTGTGAGGAAAAAGAAGCACAGAGCGACAAGAGCTTGAGCCTGAAAAACAATGGTCCTATTATTGTCAAACAATCTTTTTTTTCCCAACCGTTCAACTTAACACATCCTTCTGTCTTGTTATGCTTAAAAGTAGTTTGATTGTTTGCAAATAATGACACAGTCTTCTATTTGGGTCTCTGAAGTAAAGTAATTGACCAGTTACAACTGAAGGGATGTTATTGGTTTGGTTTTGTATAATTTCTATAATAAATGGCAATATGCCAAGTAAGAGAGCTTTGCTCGGAACTACGTAAGCAGCAAACTTGGACTACTCAGGCAGATTGCAAATAAACTGGGATGATATTCTTATGTAATACACATCAAATAAAGCCATTATAATGAGGTACAGACAAGATCCAGCATAGAAACAAATACATCTTTACATCTACCCAGCCACTGACATGTCATGTTGACATGTTATTTCTTTACGTAAATGAACAGGCAGAAGCACTGAATCGGCACTTTCTGCACCAAGTTGACCTGATCAATACATTTCTTTAAAGGCGCTGCTAACAAATAGAACAGAAAGATGCACTTTATCCTTACCAAGCCCTGTATTTCATGCCTTCTGATACCATCGTCCTAAATAAAACAGTGTAAAATATGCCTCACAGCTACATTTAAACTTTGACATTGGGAAAAATGTCAAGCACTCGCATCATTTAAGGTATGCACTGCTCTGATCTGTTTTAGGAAGGGGCAGGTTCAGACTGAGACATGCAGTAAATAACAAAAGGACCGTCAAGCTTCACATTCCTATGAGAGGATTTGTGCTTAAAGCAGAAACCACACCATGACTTGTTTGCAGGGAATAGTCTATCCAACATGTTGGCTCCAGACAATTTAAATATTAAAGGGTTGTTATTCTGTTGAACTACACTGAAAGGTGAAAGCGGGCTGTAACATATAGGTTGGGGAGTTTTAACGTAAAAGTAACTATTGTGACTAATATCAGCCTGGGGCAGAAGTGAATATCAAACTGTCAGTTGAGCTTTTATTGACAGAACTCTGGACAACTCCAAATAACATCATCATCAGGGTGTGATAGGAGGGAAAGTCAGACTTTACCCTGACGCGCAACTTCTCTGACATCATCTTTAAGAGTGAATCATTTCACAGGAAAAAAAAATCAATCATTTGGGTCACCTAAGCCAATGCTGTCAAACTACTAGTGCCAATGAGGGTCAAGTTAAAGCATCTACTGTTGCTATGACAGCACTGGTGTCTTTTTCCATTCACCGAAAAGGTTGAGCTACTATTACAAGCATTGTCCTACACATGCATGTGTTTAGATACCCAACTAATGAGGCGATCAATAAGTAATAAGTAAAAGACCATACTGAAAGACAAAATGAGTGTTGGGAGAAGAAAAAATACCAATCTTACCTTGGGTAAGATGTCCAATTATTAAAGATGTAGATCAAGAATTGAAATAGGCTGTGATGGAGCTCAGTGATGAGCCATCTACGCCTCCACACACAGCCACAAACACACCCTCTCCCTGGCACCGAATCCCACACTCACACTGGTACCAGCCTGTGACATCACTATGCCAGTGACATCACCTGCTTCCGGCCGCAGCATCATTGTTTACCTATAATGCGCAGACACAGTGCCCTTTGACCACCTTCTGCTTGTGGTCGCACTGACCACGGACAGCTTCCACATGCTCACTATGGAAACCAGGAAGTGCAACTCATGGGCCCAGAGAACAAAACACAATGAAAAGACATGGGCACGCTTTTTTCTTTACTTGTACTTGTGAACAATCAATTGACTGTCTCCGTGGTTGAGATTGAGAAAAGAATGAACTTAAATAAGACCAATGCATTGCGGAAAGCAAACTGTGTGCTCTGATGACCCCACAATGAAAGTAACAGCAGAGGGAAAACGCTGTGAGCATCCTTTTTCTCCGCTCTTACCTATTTTGTGTTGAGGCTTGTACACCCAGTTGTCATCATCCTCATCCTCATCTCTGTGTGCAGCATTAAGATGTGTGTGAGACTGTGTATGGCGCCGGTGAACCACATGGAGCTCGTTTTGGCTGTGGAAGATCCTTCTCCTATCACGGGAGAGGGTGGACACGCTGAGCCAGCTAAGAGCCCGGGAAAGGCCCGCTGACTTCTCCTTGTGAAAGGAAGCAGATCTCCTGTCTCCTCTCATTCTTATTCAGAGATAAAAATGTCCAGTACAGACTAAGTTTTATCCCCCCAAAAAAGAAGAGATCCACAAATGCAATTCTGGAAATGAGGTTGAAAATATTTTTAATCTAGATCTGCTTGTGTGTCGAAATCCTTCAAATCGTCAGGCAGTAAATTAGTTCCAGAAGGAAGTTCAACCCTGTGAGTGTTTTGCCATTTTAGTTGAACTCTTTAACCTCATGACTGACCTAGCCAGCCTCATCTTCCAGCCGCCTTCGCATCATCCGTGTGTCACAAGTCAGAATCCTCCTCGTTCTTCTCCTTTCTCTCCTTTGTGCTTTTATGACTCCAGGTTTGATTATCAAAGCCAAAAGAGTCATTTAACAATCCAGCAAACTGACAGCCGTCACCCTCTCACACACTGTTTTCTAACAGGGTGGAGAGAAGTTTCCAATTATTAAAAAAAAAACTCTTCAATCATAGCAAATCAGTGGTTTCTGTTTACGACCATGCATGCCCTTGAGTGCCGTTATCTCCAGTTGTTAGCTCACTCCGGCAAACTAGCCTCCCCGGGTCTATTCCCAGCCTGATGAAGTTAGCTGCATGCTCACATGCTGGTAAACACACACTCACATCTGATATCCTTCTGCCAAACAGAGGTCCTCTGTTGTCAATTTCTTCTCGGTGCTGTTTTTCCCTCCAGGATCGCTGTCAGCGCTGGTTGAAGGGGGGGGGGGGGGGTGCTACAAGTGCTGACAGCTACTTTTGCACTAGGCTTCCAATCAGCCGACGGGTGATGAAGCCGGAATGAGGAACGACCGCACACCTGCTGCACACTCAGCACAAGCAGGTGAAAAAGAAAGCGTATGTAGGTGAGGAGTTCCTGAACTCGCTGGCGCTGGCGAGTCCTCCTGAGTGTAAGTGTGAGAGAGTAATTGGTGCAGTGAGTACAGGGTTAGGATTACACCCAACCCAAGTACACACGGAGCTGAAATATGAGTCAGCCCGTCCCTTCTTCCCCATTTCCTGCCTCTCTCGTTTTTTTTAGTGATCCCTGATCTCTGCCCCTCCCCTCCATCCATTCAACCACACCCTCTTTCCCTCCTTTTCCACGCCTTCGCACCTTATTCCCCTCGCTTGTCTGTTTACCCCTATGGCATATATTTCGTTTTACCAACCTTTACTTCAATCTGTGGGACTTTGTTTTACAAGCAAAGAAAACAAACAAAACGCTCTTTCAACGGGCTAAAACCTGTGCATGATTCATAAAAACCTTTGTGGACTTGTACAGAGTCGTTCAGGAAGTTGTGAGAGGGAACTGGAAAAGCAGGAAAAAAAAGAAACAGGTTACTGTTTCAGGAGAGGTTGATCAAACTTTTAAGCGGGGAAAGTGAGCCTTGGCTTCAGGCATTCAATTTGTAAGTGCAAATTTACATCTAGGTCCTCGGGTACAACAGACACTCAGATGAGGTGGAGTTTTCCCACACTGGTGTGAATGCACAGCCAACATGTGACTGCCAAAGCGAGACAACAATCTGACTGTGCGTGTGCACATATCACATAAAATCTATAATCGATTCCTCTCCTGTTTTCACTAGAAGAATCTTTATTCAATCAGGGGAAACAACATTAAAGCATGTTCTGTTCAGACAACGATCTGAAGCCCTCCCATCACTGAGAGCCAGTCCCATAAGTTGTGGCTATGATGTTGTGTAAACCCGAACCCAAAGCTCCATTTCTCCGTCAGGTCCCTGTCTTCGATTCTTTTCCAATTAGGGAAGAAATAGAGTCACTTATAATTGTTGTTTACACGAAAAGTACAACTGCTCGGCCCACACTAGCTTATAAACAGGGGTAGTAAACAAAGGGTTAGTAAAGAGGTCACGCGGTTTTACCAGCACACAGACAGATGCATATATTTCTAAGACCTTTGTCCACAAGGATGACACATGAAACCTTTAATAATTAACCAGCATCACTTTCAAGAGAGCAGGGAGGGAGAGAGAAATTTTGAAAATGAAAACACAAAGCAGGATGTTGCTGAGGATTTCATCCATCCCTTCAAGCCAACCTGAATGTCAGCAAAAAATTCAAATGCAAAGCATACACAGTTTAAGCCATTTCTCCATACACCACAACCCCCTCAATGGGCAGGGAAGGCAAACATTAAACCATAAAAAGGTCAGCATTCTGGTCCAAACCCCCCACCTCATTTCTATTTCATGAATGGCCCACAAATCGCCAATAATCAATACAAAGAGCTAGATATCTGCACCACATGTTTGACACTACTGAAACAGCTCTTTCTGCTCCCGGGTGAACTTCCTCATGTTTGGAGGTGTAACTATGTGCAAACGTTACGATCAAAGCACACTCAGACATTTTCACATGTCTTGGAACACAAACTCTCCCTTGAATATACGTTTTATTTCATGCTTTATAGTCCAAATGTTTATATAAAAAACTAAAAAGCTTTTTTATTCCTTCTCCACCAATTAATAAAAACATTCGACAGCTTTAAATTGCAGAATTTACTGAAAATACCAGGTTTGTCCTTAAAAATGATCAATCTGATTGAAGAATTAAAAACGCTGATGCAGCATGTGTCTCTATCCAGGTCACCTTTAGGTTATCACAGGATTAAAGAGGTGGCTTTAGGATAGGATTGTTATGTATTAGGCAAAAAAAGAGTGTGTGTACTGATGGTCTGTCAGTTTTGGTATTTGTGAGGCTGTAATATTCAGGCACTTCTGGGCAAAGAGTTACTTATGAGTTAAATATGTGTTTCTCTCTTTGACAAAGTTCAGCTCAAGGTAGCAAAGTGGGCAAAATGATATAGCACATGATTGTAGAAATCATAACTATGGTCATCATAATTGTGTTCTAATGCCTAATGACATTTTATTAATATTCATTCAGATAAGTACATTACAAATCAAAAGTTTTTTTTTTTTAAATATATATATATATTTCCTATGAATCATGTTTCCACTGACTGGTTTCATTACACTGATTTGCATTGATTCGTCATTGTGTCCCCGGGCTGTTTCGGTAGAAGAGTTTCTAACCAGGAACCAGAGCTCTCAGACCAGTTGACAGTGTTTTAACCATTAACCTTATCTACAACGGCATCGTTTTTTCACTGTAAGAACACAAGTGCCGTAAAACACTTAGTATGACGAAACAACAAGTTCTGATGAATGCGGGGTGGCAGATGTTATCAGGAATTTTATCAGCACAGACATCAGGATGTGTTTAGCAGACAGCTCGCACAGATCTTAATCGAGCCGGAAATACAGGTCACCTGTTAGGGCCATTGTTTCAAATCCTAAAAAGAATGGAGACACATTTAACATAAGAACAGAAAGAAAAGAAGTCTCACTTAAGCTACTGGGTAATTAAGCTTAATTATATGAATCAGAGAAGATTAGAGGATATATGAGGATCAGCTAGATCCAAACATCCATACTTAAAAGGGACATGTAGTATAAAGTTAAAGGGCAGACACCTATGATTGAGTTACATTCTGATAGATGATGAAAAGAGGGTGAAAAGTAAAAAATGACTAAAATGTTTACACAGTATTAGGATGATGACAGATGGCCTTGAATCCACTTCTTCAGATAACACAAAAATAAATCCTTTCATTTCAATCAACATAAAAATGCCAAAATTATACACCTGCTAAGCAAACACCACTAAGATCAAAGGTATACATTTCTTTTCGCGAGCCTTCCACACTTTCATGATAGGTAACGGTAAGGCGAGGGCGATCTGGTTGCCAGGTAACCCAACCCGACATCAAAGGCCAGCAACGCTTGACACTGATATACCCTGACCAGACACTGTCACAAAACCTGTGGGATCAGTCCCAGTTGGAAACCAACACACTGAAGTGCATCCCCCAGTCCAGCATTGTCTTATTCACAGTCAAGCCTTGGCTGAGCGTCGGTGCCAAGTTTGAAATTCAAGTAAGTACAGCTTCACAGTGTGCATCTCTCGGCAATGACACATTCACAGAGCCAGTAAAACACAGGGGTTTAGCTCCACCGCAGAGGAAGGCTTTTATTACCCTGGGCACCCCGCATTTACTGGGACGGTTACATGGCAGTCGGTGCTGGTGTGTCTGTTTTTGTCAAAGACCACATGTGGGAACAAATTCTAGGCAGGGTTTGACACCAGTTGATTGAATGTCTTTTTTTAGATGAAATTGTTTGCTCCACTTGGTTTCACTGTGCAGTCGTGCTCAGGACAGTATTAAATCAATTCCTCTCATGCAACACGGTTTCATTTGGGGTGGGCCTTCAGGGACATGATGTAAGCGAATACCTGGCATGTTAGTGTCTGCGTGTCTATACAGTCTATACTGGGCTACTCCAGCTTGTGTTGGAATTTCTACCAGAGGGTGAAGAGGGATCTCTTTTTAAATACATGTGTCAGATGTATGAGAGCTGCATCTGCTTTACACGGACAAAAAAATAGAAAGTATACGTGGAATTTCTGATCATATTTTGTCGCTATTCATTCCCACCTCTGCAGCCTATGAATCACATTTTTAAAGCCACTATGTATATATATTAAGTTTGTGTTTACAGAATGAAGTCAGGTGACAGACGGTTTGGATTTTCATGGTGCTAAAACTGGGGCGTTACCATTGGTGAGTGATCAACACCCCCAGTCTGTGTTCCCCCAGTCACCCTGCCTTCAGCATGAGTTTGTGGATTGAGACCTCGTCTTAAGGGCCATATTGTCTGCTCTCCCCTCCTGACCTGTTTGACCTATGGAGCTCCTCTCCGTGAACTTTGAACTCTTTGAACTTTGAACTTTTTTAACCTGACATAACCGTGTCTCACTGCCTCATTTATCATGTTTTTTGTTTTGTTTTTTACTTCAATTTAGGTCGTTACTGCAAGGAGAGGAGTTTATGGGTTTAAAAAAAAGTTAGATAGTTACTTTGATTGCGGTAAGACGACAATGTAAGCTGGCATTAGGAATGACAACAGCATTTCTGTCATGGTTGTTCCACAGGAATTTTAAGAAAATACATTTTTGGAGAAAGAAACCTCAAGGTTAGAATTACTATAATATAATATATACCCTATCAAACAGAAGCATAAACACACTGACCGACCGTAAAAGTAGATTAAAAAATGACATTCATATTAACTAAACCAGCCTTATGAAAAGTGAAGGACAGAATGCATATGAGAACAGATGAGACGGAAGAGGAAATTGTGATCCATGCTGTGTCAGCTGTGTTATCAGGTGAGCTGCCGGGCAGCTGAAGACCTCCAGGGGGCGGGATGGGCCTGGTAGCCTAGCAACAACCCTCTGGTGTCAAAGGATAGGAGGCCAATTCCCTCCTTCCCCAAACCGAGCAAATTGACTGCAATATCTATATGTTTAAGGAGTTTTAGTCTAAGCTGTATTTAAGTAATCAAACGTTTGAAACAATTTAATTATTTTTGCACCAAAAAAAACTGAACTGAGAATAATCTATTTTTTTTAAATACACCGGTTTCTGATATTTTGTGAAAAGAAACATATTTGAGTCAACTAAATAAATAAAGTATTAATCATTTAAAAATAAACCGTTCTCCCTTTTCCCTTTTTCTAGTCTACCGTTTCAAATCCTACTTACTTTTCTAATTCAAATTAGTTTCAAATGTTGTCGATGAGCATTGAATATTTTAGAGCCTCTGTGTGTAATTGCAATCTAAAGCCACACGGGGACACTGTCAGACTAAATTTCTACTCTCCAGTCTTCTAACCTGGTCGGGAGCTGCATGGGCAAAGTTAAATGGGCCGGAAAATGTGTCTGTTCATTTGTGCATCCTGACACTTTACAATGCAACTTCAGTCTATCAACAACACCGCCCCATGGCCTGAGGGGACTGAAGCGTGTGTGTCCACAAAGATAACAATCTTTAGTTTGTGATAGCAAAGCTATTTCAAACAACTGAGGCTTATCTTTGGCCTCTGTGGAATAGTCCATTTGTGGGCACACATAGGAAACATGCACAGGGTCCTCGTGAGATGAGTTGGTGTTAACTCCTGATTTGAAGACAAATCTCTGCTTCATCTACAACGTAAGCCTTTGTGAAGTTAAAGTGAACTGTTTTGTCTCTTTCACTCTCAGTATTTTTTAAAAGATCAAAATCTGTAATGATCAAGTAACCCAGAAGGGGAGCGGGATCTAAAATGTATACTTAGACAGGGTTTTTTATTTCCTTGAAAAAGGGAAAGCGGAGACTTTTTTTGAGCCTGGATGTCCTCCACAGACACAAATGCCTCCAGTACTGTGTGGTAAACTTACAC